TATTTTGGTAGTCAGAGCAAGCAGAGAACTGTCAAACCTTCTTCCTCTGATGATTTGTTTGTTAGAGTGTAGCAGGTTTTTATGGATGAGATATATACTTGTGAATCCTTTGCTATGCAGTTTCTCTGGCCTTTCCTACCTGTTGATGATGATTTAGCGTAACACATTTGCAGTAATAAAGATGCTAATCTGTTGCTTTCTGCATTTTTACATGGTTTGTGATTAATTTAATAAATTCTGTAGTTTTAGAATTTATTTCTAAATTCTGTAGAATTTGTTTGTTTAAATAATTTTTGTTTAAATAATTTTACTTCACCTAGATGGTCTTATCATGCTTCTGCTTCTTAAATGCATTTGCCTTGCACCAGTTACTAACACAGGTGGCGATTCAGCTGAAGAAATAGAGATTGATTATTCATGAAGAATAAGCTTCCTTGCTGTAGTTCTGAAGCTGGGGTCACTGACACATTGTAAGAATAATTGTTCATTCTTTATTTGTCCTGTTGAAAACTACTTAGACATTTTAATCCATTTTCAAAAGCTGCTGAGGTTTTAACTTCAGCTGGAGTCACATAAAGGAAGGCAGGAAGGAAACCAGAATTAACTGACAGGTACATGTCCCTAGGGGGAAGGTGAACTGTAGAAATGGCCAATAATTATTATTTTTATTTTTTTTTTATGATAGGCTTTTATTTATCCTAGGGTCTTAACATTGCAGTGAAAGACACCTATGAATGCTTACCTCTAATTAGTAGTAGAATAAGATCTGCAGTGAAGTACCACTTGATTATACTTTAGATGTTTCAGGTCTATTTTATAACATTAATCTAAAAGAAATGTATTTAATGGGCCATATGGTACTCTTCAGTTTCTCAAATTTGTAATGTAAACCTTTAACATGATGCTGAAAACCAAAATGAACTCCAGAGAAATAAAATTATTCAATTACAAATAGCATGTGTGTCCTTGCACTGACATGAACCACTCCTTGATTACTGCCTAGCCACATGGCTTGATTTCCTTCCAGTCTAAAGGGAGGGCTTGATTGACACAGTGGAGACCAGCCTGAGCAACTGAGTGATCTAAATAGTGTTATTATCTGTGTTTTACTGTGAGACTAACCAGCTGAAGAAATGTAGTTTGCCTACTATACAACAGGGATTTAGTTCTTACGGAGCGCATTGCTGATAATTTATTCTAGATGCTTTTTTTTTTTTTCCCCTACATTAAAAGCTAACATTTATAAAAGGATTGTTAAGTAGGACCTGACTGCACCTGGTAAAGTAATGCATAGCAATTAAACTTTTTTCAAACCGGGAACTCACTTTTTTTTTTTTTTTTTTTTTTGCATATGTAAAAGGAAAGATTCTGTGGATTATCAGAATTAAAATTAATCAAATTTTTACGTTATAAAGAGGTTTCTTTAGACTTAAACATGAAAAAATAACAGTGGTGGGGAAAAAAGAAAAGTAAAGCAGAATGCCCAAGTGATACACAATTGCTGTTACATGATGATTGGCAAATTATTTATCACTGAAGAATTTTAAAGCGCTTTTAGTCCTGTGTTTCTGGACATTGGCAGTGGTGTAATCTTCTCACCCATCCATGTCAATTCTATGACCTACATCCCCTAGTAGTCTTTTACTTAGGAGTGACCTTCATTTCCTAGCAGCAGTAATTTTTTCAGAGTCAGTCTTTCATCTCTGTGTCGATGCCTACTTGGCTTTCAGTAAGGATCAGGCATTCTGTTGCCAAGCATGGAAGCTGTCCTGCTTGTTATAAATTGCAGTTGCAATTTTGAGAGATTATCTCTTCCTGATTTCCTGACTGCTGCATGTTGAGAGAAACTTGAGACAGTGCTTGTACATTTTGGTAGGAGAGTGTTTCACATGATAGAACAATATTTCTAGCTGATTAACTAAGTGGTCTTTGAAGTTAATTTCTGTGTCACAAAGTGTCTTCAGTGCAGAAAGACTGAACAAAGATTTAGGATGGTTTTTCTAGGTTAGGATGAGGAGGGAAGGAAATGAAAGCAACAACTCCTAATATAGCCAGTGGGTAATAGTCCTATAAAAAGGTATTTGTAGATATGGCTTCAGTTACGTGTCTAGCTGCTGGGTTTAATGCTATAAATGCAGTTGATATTAGACCTAATTGATGTTACAATAGTAATAAACAAAAGGCTGAGCTGCCTGGACATTGAGAAACAAATCTGTATAAATAAAGGAATTCAGTCATATAAACAGAAAAGTTTAATCCCATTTGAGGTTTAATATACTTCCTTTCTACAGATGCTGATCCAGTAAGGTACAGCTTTCTCCAGTGTCTTGCTTTAAGTCTGTGTGATTTTCTCACAATGTCTCAAATGGCATTAGATACCTTTATTCAGGCAAGCAGACAGCCTAAAACGTCCCACCACCTAATTACTCCCATCCCACCTCTCATCATTCCCATGCCTGCCATCATTCTTCTGCACTCTAAGACTGTATCATTTTTTCATCTTACTCTAGGAAATTGTTCCTCAAATACTTTTCATCTAACTGTAAGACAGGGGTGGAGAAAGATTCTTGCTTTTCTGATTCCTTCAACTTCTTATTTGCTTTGATTTGTTATTGTATGTGAAATATATGGTATGCTGTATGGTGGGCTGTTGTTCTTGAATTGACTAAGTTAAAAGCTTGCCTCTTAGTTTAACAACACTACATTGATGGGAAAGTTTTATTCATTTTAGGCCATTATTTTTCTTTATCTTAAAGTCCATTAATTTTGGGAAACTTTTCATTTTTTTAATGAATACAAAGCATACTGTGTGAAGTTTGCAGTCATTGACAAGGACTGGGAGAATGGGGATGTAGAGTCTGCATAACAATAAAAATAAATGGGAAGAGAACAGTATCTTGCACATAAAGCATTCTCCCATATTAGTGCAGTGTTAAATATTTATTAGTGAACTATTTCAGGGGCTTGTGTGTCAGAACAGTGAAATTTGAACAAAGCAGTTAAACTGTTAAAATACTAGCATGATTAAATTGCACATTGTTTTCATAAAAATATAAATCCTGTACTATGAAGGATGGTGATATAAAAACCAAAAAGTACCATGCCTCATACACTTAACTGAATATGTAACATTTAATATGTAAACTTTCATAAATTAAAAAAAATATTTTGTTGTTGCTTTGGTGAGGAAGAAAATAACCAATTATTTTTGAATAGTTAAGATGGAACGTAGCGAAGTGTTTTCTGCGGGGCAGAATGCTGGCTAAAAGTCAGACTTGGGTTTCTGGAAGAAGAAGGTGTCTCTTTTTTCAGTTCCTGATATGCTAGCAGAAATGGTAGTCGGTATATATACAGAATTAACTGTCTCTGCCATCATTTTCACCTCTTCAAAACAGTATAGAAATGAGAACAATGTCAAAATACTCTGTTAATTAGCTGTGTCCCTGCAGTATCTATAATCTTGATTACTTTTTTGTGAAACTTAATCTGCCTAGTAGATTACATTAATGATCCAGTTTTCCTAATGTTCTTGATAATTTAGCCAATAATTTGGGGAAATAAGTGTGATGACACTAACAGAAAAATGCCTGTGAATGTATGTAAGAATGGTGGGAGCAAAAACATCTAACAAAAAAATAGAGTGATTATCCACCTTTCAAAAACAGCTATGAAATGGAAGCTATTTCTTGCAGGTATTTTAAAATAGTTTTCTGTGAGAGTCTGAAGCCTTTATTTATCCTGGATGATCACAGTATCATACATTGGTTTGGGTTGGAAAGGACCTTTAAAGATCATGTGTTTCAACCCCCCTGCCATGAGCAGGGACACCTACTCGACCAGGCTACTCAGAGCCTCATCCAACCTGGCCTTGAATATGCAATTGCATTCTTCATAGTACTGAAGTGAAACTGTGAAGCAATAATTATGCTAGCTTAAAAATGGAAAAATACCAAGATTTTTCTCTTTCTAACTCTTAAAATATTTTCCTGCTAACCTCAGGAAATTTAATATACAGAATCTGGAGTAACTGAATATTAAAGGATAACTAACCTTTACACTGTTCCTATAGCAAGCTAGTAATTTAGTAGATCAGTCTGAGGAAGTTATAGTATAGTATATAAACTGTTAGCTAAATGTAAATAATCTCTAGTACTTCAACTTAACATTCTTTAAAAAAAACCAAAGTAGCCTATTTGCTATAATAGATGTTGAAAGACTTTGTGCCTACTGTTTAAGTGTTTAATTACCTAATGTGTTTGAAAACTACAGTAGTATGCAGCACTCAGTCTTGAGCTTGTTTTCCAGTTTTCATCTTATATTTATTGCAATTCTGTTGCTAAGATTTCACTGTTAAATACTTATGTGAAATAAATACAAATATGTCAGTGACTAGAATTGTTTTAAGTAATTTACCCAGATAATGTGCATTTATGTGTCTTTAGCCTTTTAATTGTTTTTCTCTTAACCGCTACTCTGCAATTGCAGCAAGTTCTTTACATTGCCAGCATTTCATAGACCATAGATATCTTGAATATAATTATCTGATTCAGCTTTTTGCTGTTAGAGAGCATGCTGTTAACTGAGTAAAGAATTGATTTAAGTAGCCACCGGAACGTGCTTCCAAAAGGTGCCATGATGATCTCTAATCTCCTGCCCAGTATGGGACATTTCATATGCCTACCAAAGGCTTCTTCTGTTGTTTCTCCTGCCATTTAAATGAGATATGTCCTTTGAGAGACTCATCCATGTTGCAGCACACTCTTCATTCTCTGCTCTGTCTGATCCTAAAGATTGCAGTATATATCAGTAGAAGGTGAAAGGTTTGTAGATTCACTAACTGCTTAGTGTGAGACAGCTAATACCTGTTTGCACCAGTGTAACTTCCAACCTGTTTTTAAAATGCTTCAACCCAAAGAATGCTGTGTAGGTGAGATACTGATATAAGTTGAGTCTGGTTGCAAATAAATAAATAGAATTTTGATTTGTGTTTTTTTTTTCAGAGCCAGAGCTTCAACTGTGTGGAAAAGACCAAATGTCCAGGATCTAATGTGAGTTCTGTGCAGATACAGGGAGATTCAGATTATTTCATCAACCATCTTGGAGTACCTGCCATGCAGTTTTCTTATGAAGACATCAAAACATCAGAGGTAGTTATGAATGAAAATGGGCAAACTGAAAATAACATAAAGATAGAATTAGATTTTCTCAGGTTATATCCTTACATGATAAGCATGTTTTAGTGGAAAGCTATCTCCTCTAAGTGCCTTTTTCAGATCTTCAGGATTACCACAGAACTTAAAAGTGACTGATTTTATAGGGGCACGGCATTCAAACAGATAAATGTTTAGAACAAAAGCAAAAGAAAAAATTGAAGCATATTATGTTAAAAATGTTAATATTGCTGATAGTATTATAGGTTACATATTATCTAATCCAACTTTTCAGACTGCTTTCAACATAAAGGAAACGAGTTTTGATGTGTATTTTTTTTTTTCCTGCAGAGTAGGATGAGACAGCCTTCAAAATAAATTTTATGTACATTTTCATACTGTGGGCAAAATATGACTCACTAGTATAAATGTTGGTTTGAGGCTTCATAACACCATGTTCTTTTTCAGTTCTCTGCAAGGTAAGTGGAAGGAAGAGGCATGTTACACTGTTTGGAGACCAGGTTGAAATTGATCACAGATAAACTGTTAGGAAAGTTTGTCCTTCCTCAGCCTTCACTGCTGTAGGTTATATTTACACCTCGACAGCTCAAACTTATCCTCAGTTGGTCAGCTGAGGATCAGGAAGCCTGGTATTAGTTATTTCAATATAGAGTAGTCATAAGAAAAGATGTGTGTTTTCTTGTAAATGTAACAATGCATTAACTTCATGTTCCCCTCGTTTCTCTTCTTGTGCTGTGCTTATCTACATATGCACACATATGTAGATAAGCACGTGGTTCAAGTTCAAGAACAAAGTTCAAGAACAAAGCTGAAGCTGAGTTGAGCTGGAATGCTTCCTGGCATTGCATGCTAATGTTTCTGTTTCACAAATGCAAAGCAAAACAGAAATATGACAAATACTAGAGCATTGTTGTGATGCTGTTGTACAAATTAAAATAGATTTAGTCAAGAATTTATATAATTTATATAACAGACTTCTGTTTCTAAACATCACTGCACCTATTAGGCAAAATACTGTATTTGAGATTAAACACAAGGCAAAGGCTGTAAGGAAAATGTGAAGGCAGAAGATGTATGTTTATGACAGCCTTGTGGTCCAGTGCAAATATCTGTTGTCACTTAGCAACTATTCTACATACTTTTCAGTCTAGATTTGTATATACAGGATCTATAGAGCATAAGAAAGGCTCTACAAACTTCAGTATATCAAAATAATATATGAACAATATGAACACTGAAGGTTGCCTTGGCTAACGTCTATTTCAATCTTACCAAAGTTGTTATTCCTGTTCAGTTAACTTTGCAGGTGTACATTTTTGTCTCTCAAAATGACTCAGCAATGCAAATAAAATTATAAAAGAAAACATCTTCCTATTTGCCTAAATATGACACAGCAAATTTGATTCCCCATTGAAAACTCAGCTTTTGTCCTTTTTTGCAAAATAATTTCCTAGAAATAAACGTGAAAGTGTAATCTGCAGTCTTGAAGTTGATGTACTGCACCTCTCAGACCATAGGAGATCTTGACCCCGTCAAATGTATTTCATGTGAGAAATAAATCTGCTTAGCAAAATATGTAAATATCTGTTGGCAAAAGGGTGGATTTTTTCCCTAAAAGTGATGTTACACAGAATCATTAACTTTGCGTTCTTTGCTATATTTTGGTTATCTATTGTACTGATTATTAACAGTTCTTCAAAACACAGGCTCATTGTCTCTCCTGCTTTGCTATATTCTATCAGACAAGCAATCTGGTTTTTGTTTACTGTTTATTGGGGATTCTGTTTATTGTATCAAACAGGGGTAGTACTATTATAAGGCAGACAGAAATTATTCTGGGTTTATAGCTGTATTAATAAACATTGTAGGAATTTCTCTTGTGCAGGTTAGTGACTGAAAATAACCTGTTAAGTTGCAGGGAAGATTTTTGTTTGTTTCCAAACCATTCAGCTCTTTGAATTATGCTTCAGCTTTTTCAACTTCATTGTAAAACAAGATTTAGATTTGGGAAAACAAATTTCAGAAATGGGGTGTTTTGACCTGCTTTTGTAGACTATCATTTTAACAGATTGGTTTCTTCTGCTGTCTCTTTCACTGCTGTGACCTACTCAGGAAATTATCTTCCTTTGGAATATACATGCCTTTATTTTATCCACCTGTAAGACAGCATGCAGTGTCACATAAAACTGATGCTATTCCACACTCAAAAAACCTGTTTTAGAGTAAAAAAACCTGAGACCTGTGCCTTGTAGTCTGCCTACAGAGCAACAGTTATAGGTCAGCTTTAGAAATGTATTTCTTGCACAGTAAGTGTAATGCTAATCCTCAGAGAGAAGGTTGTAAAAGCTTTTCATTGGCAGGAACCTGAGGAGTAAATAAGAGGAAATAAAAGTTGTAAGAGGAAATATTCAGACCAGAAGAGTAAGTAAAACTGTCTTGTTCGAAATTACCTAATACAGTGAACCACAGCCTCAGGGAGGTTAAATCTGCATGGCAAATGCCTGTGGTCAGATCTGTGAGCTAGTAAACTGCATTCTAAGTATTCAGCCACTAGTAGAAAAATGCACTGAGTGAAATGCAGCTCATATATTTACTAGCAGAAAATACACAGCATTTTAGTCTGTCAGCAAGAAGAATTCTTGGAAGAATTCTTCACAAGTGGGAAAAAAAAACCCAAAACATATTATTAACCCAATTTCCAAGACTTATCTTGGAGTTGCTAAAGAAAGCCTTCCTCTCCTCCTACCTTCTGGTGCACTGACTTTACCTCCACAGGAAGGTCACATTCCGATTTGTAATGTGTGAGGAGAAAGACTGATTGGCTTTTCCTTATACTGCGAATTCTTACTTTGAGGAGGAGTCATGCTATTCAAGTTAATCATTAATTGACATCTAAGTGATCATGTGGAGCCTCCAGACAGAGAAGTAAAGTTGATTTCAAATCTGAGTTTCTCTACTACTGAAAACCCATTATTATAAGTCTGTTAGTCCTTACCTCAGTGGAGAATAGTATTAGAAACATCTTCACTTAGCTTTGCTTCAACAAGAAAGAGCAGTAAAAGAGGTCTTAGATCACAGACTTGTCTTTGTTACTCTCCGTACTGCGATAAGTGCTAGATATTAATGGAATTACTTGATCATCCATACCTCCTCTTTTAACATGCTTCTGTTTCTCTTATTTCTCTCCCTTATTTCTTTAAGTTTTGCATTATTTTTTGTTTTAAATGAGCATCATCCCATATAATTTTCCTCTTCTTGGTGGAGCACCTTAAAAATATAGTTTGCTCTGCTGGATTCAACATTTTAATCTGATGGCCACACTTGCCTTTTTTTCTTCATCAAAGAAAACAGACAGAGGAAAGTAGGTTTTAAAAGATCTATATTTGGAAGTGTAGTAGTGGCCTTCTTCACTACAGAGAAAAGAACCAACCCCATAGTTGCACAGTTGCTGAAGTACTGGAAGATAAATAAATCACACAGATTAAGCCTTGCTGTGGCTGCCTGATGTTTGGGTACAAGAGAAAATATAGTCTGGATTTGCCATGGTTTCAGTTAGAGATTTGATTGTTTCCTCAGTATAGTAACTCAAACAATATTAAACTGTTCAGCATTTTGAAGCCATTCCAATCACTTGCAAACTTAAGCTGGTACAGGAGTATTTCGAGCGTTTTTCAAGACTGAAATAGAGTGTTACTATCCATTTCTATGTCATTGCAGTCAGCAGTTTCATGAGGAATTCAGTTTTTTTAAATTATAGCTAGATTATTTCCTGTGTTATCTGCATATTATTCATCCTTCTCAGCATATCCTATTATATGATATTCTATCTGATAACATAGAATCTTAAATCCCTTCTGTGATAATGCAGTAGGTTACATCACTGTTAACGTTATCATTTTATTTTGAGACAGAACAGGTTACTGGACATTATTAAAAATAAAAAACTGCCCTACTCTCTTTTTTGTTATTATTGATGGACACATATTTAGCATGAAATATTTTATGGTAGCTGTCCAAATTTGGGTATGCCAGGCTTACAGAACATTTACTTTTACACCTAGACCATAAAAGTTGTTTTCCGTATCTTCACTGAAACTTAAGTACAGGCAAGAAGAATAAAAATGACCTGTCACATTATTCACAGGCTAGACCAAGATAGTGTAATACCATGGACCACTAAGCTAATTTAGAAGAAAAATGAAAAGAGGTTTCTTTATAGAAGGCATTTGTATGTAATATATGTTGAAGAGTTTAGAATTTTGACAGTTTGAGATTGTATCCTCTTTAGAGAGAATGCATAATGATTTTTATTTCTGTTGAAATATGCATAACTTCTTGAAGGTAACTTTCAACTTCCATTAGAGCCCTTAAAAGTGATTTTCACCCACACTGGTGTAAAACAGAGGCCACTAAATCTTAAATCTTCAGTGAATGTGGCTTCTCAGTTGTTTTTGCTGTTTGCCTCCATTTCCTCCCTTTCCCCCTGTCTTGCCCTTTTTTCTTCCCTTTTTATCACTCTTTGGGGAAACTTACTACAGTTTCTTTATTTCAGTATTTACATGCTTAGGCTAACACATCCTGCACTTTTTTCAGAAGAAATCAAAAGCTTTCCGAGTTTGCTTTGTTATGAGAAAAGAAACACAGGAGCTGTCCTTGATAGAGAGAACTTAGGGTCTAATTTACCAAAAAATAACTCCCGTGTTGCATTCTGCTTTTATGTCTTTCATGTGCTTGTGTTAATGTAGAGGGAGGGCTTAGGCAGTATGAAATGCTCTTCAGTACATCTGGCTTGTGTCTTTTTAAAAGTGCATGGGAAACTGGTGATTATACCAACTTTTGTCTGTGGAGGAGCAGTACTGAGCATCTGTAGGTTGTGGGGTTCTGGTGTCAGTGATTAGGATATCCTCTGTTATGGGGACCTTCAGCTGCTGTTTCATTTCTTCTTGGAGGTTTTTTTGTATCAAGGTTAAGTTTTG